AAAACACACACCTGGACACACCTTTGCATTTTCGTATGAATCAATACCAAAAGCAGATTCAAATATTACTGTAAAATTGCCAATAAATTAAACTGAATCAAAAATCAATTTATTTCTTTAACTTACAATTAAATAAATCATAAACAGTTGATTGTGGAATTTGACTTTTGGTTCCACCAATTAGAAAAAATAAACAAATCAAAAACACCCGCATCGAAAACATTTTCATTTTGATGTATTCGAATTTTCAGATAAAAAAATTTATTTTCAAATTTTGCACAACACAGATCACACAGAAAACTCTCTATTTGATCATCACCAATAGAATGTTTTCATCTCACTGAATGATAACTTAGACAATTGAATAAACTATATTTGAGTTGAAACGTTGTGTGGAGTCTTGCTTAATTTACCGCTATTCGGAATCGTTGATTTGCATTTTTATCATTTACATTTTGCCCATTTTGTATTATAATATTTTTCTTATACGCACACATCTTTTGGACGGATCGACGATGAAATGAGCACAAAATCCACGCGTATAAATCCATAAATGAATAAATAAAGGGTGGTAATGAAACCGGTTAGTTGAAAAAGAAAATGGTTAGTAGAAAATGTAGAAATAGTTAGTGAAATATTAGATCTTCGGTTAGCAGTTTAATAGAAATAATAATAATTTAAAATCAATTAGTAATCAATTTGGAGAGAGTTAGTTATAAATTTAGAAAGTGTTAGTTTTTTTTTATGGGATGGTTTGTCGAATATGGTTAAAAGGATAGTTCATATGTAAAAAAGGTTTCTAATTTTTTACCTTTTCCTTCAAAATGTGCATTTAAGAATTTCAAGATTTTAACAGAATGAAATTTATTTTATATTATTATTACTGTCTAATTAATGCCTTTCGTGTGGCTTTTGGTCGACCTCTTTTCTTTTTTTCACCCAGCGTAGGTGGGTTGGCGACAAAACATCGTGACAAGCGAAATTTAAAGTTTTGCCGAATTTAAAGTGAAATTTAAAGATTCTAGCCATTTTCAATGCAATAAGTGTACCTCACTGAATCTAATTGTGCCATGCTTATTTGGAATTTTCATTTTCATAAAATTCACACATTTTTTGAGAAAATGATTTTACTCCAAATATTGGAATTTTTGTATGGGAGTTATACTTATTTTTTATCCGATCGTCTTGAAAATTTCAAGAAGTTATTTTCTACTGGAAAAAATAAGGCATAACAAATTTCATGAAATTCTGATTGTAAACAAAAAAATTAATTTTCACAAAATTCAAACTTTTTTCGAAAAAAAATTGTTCTTACTCCAGATATTGGAACTTTTGTATGAGAGCTATACTCATTTTTTGTCCGATCGCCTTGAAAATTTCAGAAAAATATTTTCTACTGGAAAAAATGAGGCATGCCAAATTTCAAGAAATTCTGATTGTAAACAAAAAATTTAATTTTCACAAAATTCACACTTTTTTCGAAAAAAAAAAATGTTCTTTCTCCAGATATTGGAACTTTTGCATGAGAGCTATACTCATTTTCTGTCCGATCGTCTGTAAAACTTCAGAAAGTTATTTTCTACTGGAAAAAATAAGGCATGCCAATTTTCAAGTAATTCCGACTGTAAACGAAAATTTCATTTTCGCAAAATTCACATTTTTCAAAAAAAAAAATTTCATCGAAATGTTGGAACTTTTGTATGAGAGCTATACTCATTTTTTATCCAATCGTCTGTAAAATTACAGAAAGTTATTTTTAAATTCCGACTTTCAGTTTTTTGAAAATGTTTTCAAAATTTGAACCGTAGAATTAAATTTCAAGAAGATTATTTTCTAGACTTATTTCTATTAAACTGCTAACCGGCGATGTAATATTTTACTAAGTATTTCTACATTTTCTACTAACCATTTTCTTTTTTAACTAACTGGTTTACATAATTCCCTTAACTACATTTGCAGTATTCGCGTAAAGGAAATCAATTCAATTAAAAAAAAAAAAATATTTTGGCAAAATGGGCGGATCGTCGTCGATAAGGTCCGTAGTTTGGGATCCATTGAATCGACGTCATTTTTTCAATTATTTTATAACAATTCTTATAATAATAAAAATAATCAACTGTTGCGATGCTTACTTCTATTCGGAGAAAAAACCCGCAACGGGTGACGACAGAAACTGTTTTTGTGAGGTAAATATTTGTCGACGGCAATTTTTTATATTTACATGCCTGTGTATTTCTTTTGCCCTAAATTAACATTTAAAAAATTATATTTCTCTCGTTTTGTTCGGTTTGTTCACCAGCTCAAGGGTTCTATAGATGATTGTAGCTGTACTATAGACACGGTTGATTTCTTCAATAATAATAAAATTTATCCGCGATTAAAGAGTTTACTGGTTCGCGACTATTTTCGGTTTTACAAAGTAAACCTGAAGAAAGATTGCCCATTTTGGACGGACGATAGTCGATGTGCAATGCGATCATGTCATGTTAGCACTTGTTCGGAAACCGACGTTCCCGAAGGTTTGAAAGGACATCACCAACAAGAAACGTTCGTTTTTAAGGTGAGACATTTCAATATGTGCGCGCAATGGTTATACATTTCCATAAATTGATGAAATCATTATAAAATATTGCCACATTTTCGTTTCATTATTTCAAATCGATTTGAATGTAAAATAAAAATGTTTCCCTTATCTCACTCATATATTCAAACACCGATTTCGTGTCACCGATAAAAAAAAAAGCCAATTAAAATGAGCGAACTCATTAGTGTCTATGACGTGTCTTTTGACAATATCTAATACGTGACTACAAAACTCAATTTCAAAATATCAAAATGCATTTTCATGTCTAGCACTCACTGACGTCATGTTGATTGGAACAAAATGATAAAATCGAAATTTAAAAAAAAAACTAATTAGTGAATTGAATCGCGAGCAAATGTACAAAATTAAATGAATTTATTATGTTTAATTTCTTAAAATTATTACATTCCAGTACCTGCCGGAAAGTCAGCATATCGATGATTGCATGCGTGATCATAATTTGGAGCTGAGCTATTTGAATAAAACATTAACACAAGAAGCGATGCATGGTTTCGAGATATGGGCGGATTTCGATGAAAGCCAAGATAATTTCTGTATACTGGACGATCATGAAAATGGCGCCGAATACGTCGATTTGCTATTGAATCCCGAAAGATTTACGGGATATCGTGGAGAATCGGCCCATCGTATATGGGACAGCATCTATTTGGAGAATTGCTTTGATCGAACATCAACAAATGCCCTTTTAACACATATCAACAAGGTGCCAAAACATTTGAAAAATTTATGCATGGAACAACGAGCTTTCTATCGATTATTGTCCGGCATGCATTCGAGCATCAATATACATTTGTGTTCTTATTACCTGTTGTCGGAAGGAACAGGTTTATTATCTGATCCGCAAGGCGTTTGGGGTGGGAATTCAATTTCTTTTGCAATTTCATCTTCATTATATTATATTTCCACCGTTTTTCTATTCCTTCACGATTATCCCGATTAGGCAAAAATACGGAAGAGTTTATGAATCGATTTAGTCCGGAAACTACGAAAGGCGAAGGACCGAGTTGGTTGAAAAATCTCTATTTCGTTTACATGCTGGAATTGCGTGCACTTGCAAAAGCCGCCCCATTCTTACGAAAGGAACAATTTTTCACTGGCAACAAGGATGAAGACGAATCGGTCCAAGCGGCCGTCAAGGATATTTTGAACATCATCGAGTGAGTTGTGGTTGATTTATTTCTTTAATGAAAAATTACTAATTTTTTCCTTCTTTTTTTTTGCGCAGAGCATTTCCATCACATTTCAACGAGAGCCTGATGTTCAATGGCACTACTTCAGCTCAATTGAAAGCCGATTTCCGTGAAAAATTCCGTAATATCTCCAAAATTATGGACTGTGTTGGATGCGATAAATGCAAACTTTGGGGTAAACTACAGGCAAGTCTTTTTTTATTGAAATTTAAAAAATGAAATTAATAACAATGGCATATTTCATTCTTAGATACAAGGATTGGGCACAGCTTTGAAGATTCTCTACTCAGGAAAATTTGAAATTGAAATCGATGTTCCACAACAACAGCCAAAAAGTATGAAAGAAACACTGCGGCAAAAATTCAAACTTAAACGAAGCGAAATTGTGGCATTATTTAATGCATTTGGAAGATTGTCGAACTCGATAAATTTGTTAGAAGAGTTTCGGAAGGTGACGAGGTAGCATTGAATTGAAAATTAGGCGAAGTTAATAAATTTTGTCAATGAGCGCACAAAGATTTAACTTCACTTTGATTGAAAATACCGATTTATTGACCCAATTCACAATAGTACTGAATTTGCTCAAACCATCTCACAAAATAGTTCCCATCACCGTCCAATTCTTTTTGTTGGGCCAAAACACACATTTCAACAAATGAAGTGCAAATACAATAAGCTAGTAGTATTTATTGCAGCATA